CAAGCTTCCTGCTGGCCCTGCGCTCCGCTTTGATCTCTTCGTCAGCAGGATTTCATGAGTCCCTGCAGTTAGCAGTGCTCACTGGAGTCAAAAGGGAAGCGTCTGGAGCTGCTTGCCATGGTCAGGTTGTGCCAAGTATTCAAAGGCCAGTGCACACAGAGCTCTCCTTTGTGTTTGTGGGCGGGCTGGCTGCTCCAAGCTGGCTGCCTGCGCTGTGGGGTGAGAGCGTGCTCTGGTTCCCCCGGGCAGGCAATGCCACGCCATTCCTCTGGATAGGTCAGAGGGGAACGTGCCAAATTGTCAGTGCTACGGCACAGAGCCTGGGAGCCATGGTGGGGAGGAGAGGGCTGAGTGCTAGGGAAAGGCCATAACAGCCCAGGACTCTGTGGCTCTGGGGCCACTGGTCCCAGTTTCACCCTCCAGACCCCAGGGCAGGTCCATCACTGTGCAGAGAGCCCCTCGGCATCTGTCTCTTTCTCCCTCCTGTGCATCCCTGCCAAGCTGAGCTTCTTGCTCCACCGGCTGGCACAGCACAGTGGGACCTTCCGGCTGTGCTCCTTCCCCATGGCAGCACCAAGCCAGCCCTCACCAGTGCTGCCACTGCCGTGGGGTGTCCCATCACTCCCAGCCAGGCCCACCCCAAGCTGCTGCTGTCTGCCTGTGCCTCCTCCCTGACATCATTCATCCTGGCTCCTCCTGGCTCTCGCCCTTGGGTTATTTCCAACTCCTGTTGTCCCCATATACCTGAGCCATTTCCAAATCCTACTACTACTTTCTCCCTATGTCCCAGCTTTTTCCTGGGAGAGCCTGCCCTGTGGCCAAGACTTTTTTTCCAGGCCTTTCTTGCATCCTTTAGATAAGAAACCAGACTGTCCATCCCAGGGCTGTGTAGTGCAGGCTTCAGGGTATGTGCACCAGCAATCATGACCCAACACCTAACACCTGCTCCTGAGCTGAGATTTGGCTCTCTCCCCTTTCCCTGCCCTGAGCTGTCTCCGCGTCTTTGTAGATAGCAGTGCCACCCTCTTTTTTTTTGTTTTTTTTTTTTTTGCTGTGCCTGCTGATTCTGGGAAGGTTGCAGGGGAAGAGCTGCCCAGTGCAGCTGGACTGCTCATGCTCACCACCCAGACTCTCCCCTTGATGTTAACTCATTGCATGGTGTATCTTTCCCCTCAGGTCTCCCATGACAACCCCTTTTCTCTTGTTTCCCTGCAGTGATTGTGCTGCTATGCCTTCAGCTCTGCTTCAGCCAGAGGGGCTGCGTCAGACAAATGCTCAGACTGAGGGAGCTGAGGAAGCGCCGTTCCCTTCCTGGCCCACAGAATGGTCACTAGAGTCTTTGGAAAGGCAGAAAATGCAGAAATGGAACTAAGGAAATATGTGTCCCAATGCTGTGTGAACTGCCAGGTTACTATCTGTGGCCCTGCCTGACACCATGCCCTTGCAGGTGGCAGAAGCTTTCACATGAAATGAGTCATTTGAAATCGGGAAGAAGAATTTCCTGGAAGACACAGCCTGGATAGCAGAGGGGTTAGAACAAACTGAGCACTCCTGATTTCGAACTGAAGCTGCTGTTGAGTAATCATTGCATTATAGGGGGCAGGGAACCCCTCCCACATGCTGCTCCGACCAGGTAGCCTGGTGTTGCTGGAAGCATCCACGCTTCCTTGGGCACCTGGTGTGGGCTCCACCAGAGGTTGGACATGGGATTTTAAAGGCTATTTAAGCTTAGGTTCCCAACGCATCACCAGCTGGGCCAGCCCTTGTGGGGAGGTACTCACCTGGCTGTCTCCCTCCACTCCAGGCCTGCTGGGCTGCTGAGCAACTCGTTGAGCTGGACGAAGAGCAGCGGGCATCTTCTGTCACCTGCTTCCTCCTGCCACAGTATGGCACTGACTCGTTCAGCCGCTGAGGAGACACTGGAGGTGAAGGTACTGCAGCCGAGCACCTGGCAAAGGACCCCAGAGCTGCTGCTCGTGGACCCCCCCGGCCCAGGCTGGGAGCGGGTGTCTGCCACCTGGAGAGCTGCATCAGCCTGCCCAGGTGCTTCAGCTCTCATCGCGGTCAGCATCCGCTGCCCCGGGCCCATGTGCGCAGCTCTGCTGGGCACGCACCCCTCTGGAGCTGTTGGCACTCACAAGACCCCGCTCATTGCACCTTTATAAAAGCCGTAAGCCTGTCTGAGCTGGCCATGAACCAACACCCAGAAGCCAAGCCCAAAACAGCGTTATCAAAACACAGAGGTCAGCTCTGCAGGCCCTGGCACGGCTGGCTCCCACTGCCCCTGGCTGCCCCCCCGCATGCAGGTAGGCGCTGCCAGGGCTCTCTGCACTCAGCCATGACCCCATTCATTTCTGGCCCAGCATCAGGCGAGACACCAGGCGGCTGAAGTTGTGGGGTGGGGGCGGGGGGGCCCGAAAGCACAGCTGCAGAGCAGGAACAGCAAGGCAGTCCCCTGAGAGCTGCCTTAACTTCCCCTCTTATGCTCCTTCCCTCCCTGCTGCTCCTTCTCCTAGGCCTTTGCCATCTCGCCATACTGGCTACTTGTTTAAGGGGTTTTCGCTTGAGATCTGGCAGTTCTGGGGCTGCTGTGAGGGTGGCCAGAGCGAGGGACCTTGGGAGGCAGGTCTGTCACCTAGTGCTTTAGAGCCTGGGGCTCACACACCATCCTCACCCCACCTTCCTTGCCCCTGGGGACACCTGTACATCCTAGATACCTATCTTAATCACTCCCTGATGGCGGCGCTGAGGACAGGGTCTGGCCTTCTTGGTTAAACGCATGAGCCCCTGCCACCCTCTTCTGCCTCCTTCTCAGGACCAGGGTGGACCATGATCTGTCACAAACCCATCTTAATGCTCTTGAGGAACCAGTGTAGTCCCAAGCCACGTGCCCCCTCCCAAACCCCAGCAGGCCTTGGGGAGCAGCTACCAAGGCTGGCCCTGGCTGGCTGCCTGTGGCATCAGCACACGTACCAGGAACGCCGTGCCTACAAGTAATGCACAGGAGCCGTGGAGAGCCACAGCCCCTGGCAGCCCTTCCCAGGAAGAGGGCTGCAGCATGGCACAGCCTCCTTGCTGTGGTAGGACCACAGGGACGTGTGACGGGGAAGGATGTGGCATCACCAAGGAAATCCAGTGTGAGGCAAGCAGGGGTCTGCCAGGGGCAGGGGAAGGCTGGGGATACCCACAGCAGAGGGGAAGGCATGCGTCACCACTGCACTAACTGGGGCAACAGCTGCCACGGCATGTGGAGGACGTCAGCACCAGGATGAGGCAGGCGAGCGGATGTTGCAGTGTCTGCAAGGAGGAAGGATGTGGGCACATCCGTGTTGTCCTTCAGGGCAGAGGGAGCCTGGTATGGCTGGTCCTGCAGCACAGGCAGGGAGAGCACCGCAGCCCTGCAGCCTGGGCTCACCTGCAGAGCTCAATGCTCCTCTTTTGCCCCTCTGTGAAGAGAGAGGGGCTGAGACAAGGCTCAGTCCCATCGTTGCACCAGCATGGGCCAAACAGCCTGGCTGATGTTCCCGTGGCCAGGAGTCGATGGGCTACCTTGAACCGTCACCGACCCGCTCATGCCAGCCTCCACAGCCAGCAGCTGCTGGCAACTAGCCTTCCTTGGCTAGGCTGGCCGGGCAGAGGTACCCACCACACTGGAGGGTCAAAAGGGCCCCAGGAAGGGAAAATGGCCCCCAAACTGCCTGGGACAAGGGCCCCAGGCCTAGTGGGAAAAGGCAGAATCATTTGGGAAATGCTATCTAAATCAAGACCCTGTCCAGACCTGGTTTCCTGGCCAAGGAGCGTGAAGGTGCATGCCTATCTCCCCCTGTGCTTCTGGCATGGGAGAGCATAAAGCATCACTGCCCTGGGATGGTGCTGGCTCCCAATTTCCCCACAGGATGGTGGCAGGCAGCCTTTCACATCCCGCACCACAGGGGAAAAGCCTGCCTGCTGACAGTGCTGCTCCAAAAAAAAACGGGTCCGTGCAGCTCCTGGGCTGAGGCTGGATGGTGACAAGCCCACCGTGTTGCCGCAACACGCAGCTCCGCTCACATAGAGCATGCTGCCTCGAGATTTTGCTACCTTCACTCTTTGCAAACAAACAGCCCCATTGTATACAGTGCAAATACCACAACATGCAACCCAAACACCCTGACAAACACTGCCTGTTTGCACTGGAACCAGTCAGCTTGCGCAGGAGACAGTGCTGGGAGCAGCCTGGCAAGGGGCCAAGTGCCACCATGGGAAAAGTCACGTTTCAGGGGGCAGCATGGGAGGCCATAAACCCAGGCCCTCACTCTGAGGGGCACACAACGCCTTGAGGAGCACTGGGGTCTGCTCTGGGACAGCCACAGCTCAAGCTTGGTGGGCCAGGAGCCAGAAGCTGAAGCTGTGGATGTGCTGGAAGCAGGTCTGGCCCCGAGTGAGGCACCGGGATGGCATGGGAGGGTAGGGGACCCTCCACACTGAGCAGGGAAGGGAGTATTGCTCACATGCAACGTTCAGCTTCTTTTCTACCCTGTCCAGTTACCCATGAAAGGCCTGGGGTGGCCCCCACCCTTCATTTGGAGCCCATTTCCACCCCAAGATGGGTTTTCCTGCTACTTTGTTTAAATTTCCTTCTTCTATCCCTTATGTTTCCATTCCCTGCAGCCCTCACCATCAACCCCATTATCCCAAAGCTACAACCAAATCTACCCCACGTCTCTTCTCTGCCTCAGAGCCGCATCCCATTACTCCTTCCAGTCCTCCCAGCCCTGCTACTAGCTTTACTCTTGTACCAGCAGCCACTGAACTGGACTGTCTTCATCTGACCCCGGTTTGTAGCAGGCACAGAGCAGCAATGGGACCAGCCCACAGCCTTGCAGCAGCAGAACCCACATGAGCATTGACTGGTAAACCTTTGCCTCCAAGATGCCCAGCAGGACTAGGTATCCTGGCACCAGGTTCACAACAAACCACTCGGGAGATTTATTCCCTGGGTGTTACAGTTAATTTGCTCCCAGAGGTGGGCTTGCTGTGGAAAACACATTGCTTTTCAGAAACTCCCTGCTCCTCTGGGCACAGTTTGGGATGGTGGGTTAGGAGGGAGGCTTTCCCTGGGCTCTCTGCAAGGGCCCGCTGCAAGGGCATGCTGGTGGTCAAAGAAGACAGAGCCCAGAAGGGTCCTGCCACATGAGCTGACTTTAGCCAAGTTGCAGGAAGAAGATGTGAAGGAGCTGTCACCAAGGCAAACGGGTTGACGCTTTAGCTGGGCTGTGATTTCCCCACTTGGTCACAGGAGGGAGCCTGGCCCGAGCGACAGCGTTTTCGTGTCCAAAATGAACAGGTGCAGCTCTATGCAGCATGGTGTGGACTACGTGTAGCCCAGTATGGCCCTCGCCAACCTGCCAGCCATCTTCTGGCTCCGCCACCCCTACCCTCGCCCAGCCTTGGGGTTGCCGTGGCCCCCCAAGCATGGTGCTAAGCCAATGGGCCTTGCTGCCTGCTGCACATGTTCCCCCACGGGAGTCCACCTCACTCAAAACGGGAGGTTGCAATAGTCTGGAGATTTTGCTATGGCCTTGCAGGCCATCCCTGCACCCCTAGGCCATCCTGTCCTGAAATAAGTTATTCCCTGTCTTGCTAGGAAGATGCCACACATCTGCTCTGTTCTGTTGTACATCCTCTCCTCCTCCTCTCTCCAACATGCTCCTTCTGCTACGTCCCAAACTCCCACTTTGCTCTTCCATTTTAACATTGGCCCTTTCCTCCCACTTCTCCCGTCTTCCTTGGCCACAAGTCAGACGGCCACTGCTCTGGCACTCCGCAGAGCTCCTGTCTTGGGGGAACCCACTGTTGCCTTGCCTACCTCCAGCAGGGCTCCATGCACCAGCATGGTTGTTTGCTCTGCGATAAGAGCATTTGCTAAGGAGTGTGCCATGGCATGTAAATGGGCAGTCTGCATACCATGAGTTATGCGGCAACTTTCATTTGGCCTGTTAACAGCCACCTGTGCAGGTGGCATGGAAAAGCTGAGCTGCAGTTTGCTTTGAGAGCAGAGGTGAATGCCAGCAGTGGGGTGTGCACATTGGCATGGACCACAGGGCAGATCCCAGCCTCCGGTGCCCAGCCCTGTTCCAGGCGATCCCAGAGGAGTGG